AAAAGAAATTCATGTGATGTGAAATCGAATCAACAACCTTTTGATTGACATTTGTAGCTTGGGTGTATTCGTACCATCGCAGCCAGGTTGACAGCTAGTTGACCGAAAATTATCTCTGTTTCAAGGAATGAGAAAGAATAAGAAAACGGGCAAAGTTTCATCAGATTGATCAGTTCCAGTGCATGCATTGCGTATGAGATCTATATTTCACAATAAAAAGGCCTATATTGTAAACAACTCATAGAAACAACTTTTTAGAAAGAAACTAACTTTGAATGTAGAAATGGATTCATTAACCATTGGTAAGAGTAGGAAAATTGTCGTTTACCACAGGAAAATTCTGTTTTTGGCCAAAATGAACAGTTGTTATCCTTATAAGTAAAATTATTGTCAGTTAAGAAATTAAAACTACCTGAAATTAAAACTATCTGGAAAACCGACCCCTAGCATTTCATCCACTGAACATTGTTATCAACAATTTGTCATTGTAAGGGAAAAAGTATCAGTTTCTATATACATTTGTCCTAGTAAAATTTAATGGAAATCTGTTGAAGCCTTTGAAATGTGGACAATAAATGGAGTGGGTTTTGGATGATTAGGGAGGAAGATTATACATTGTGTGGCTTTCAATGATTGATGAGTCTACAAAAAGAAGAAAATAATAGAATAAAAAAGAAGGGATGGTTTAATTAGTGGGCCTTGTTGGTTGACAGGTAATATATTTTCATGGATTGTTATAAAGATAAGGCATAAGGTTTGTGGCTTTAATGTGAGACGCCATGTGCAGCAGAAAAAAATGTGCCAGTAATTCTGTAGGAATTGAAACACGAGTTTACAAATATTTTTATGTGAACTAAGATTGCATTAAATTTTTTTTCAACTGGACATAGGTAAAACAACTGTTTAGTGTTGTATATAAATAATGGTCACCGGTGCCAGTCTGTGCTTTTGCAATCTTTGTCACCATTGTTTCCCTACAAATTTGTTTACTCTATTACTACTTTACTTTGCAAGAAAGTGTAGAAATCACAGTGATACACAATGAGTGACAGGAAAAACACTGATTTAACATTAAAATTGTACAAAATGTGTAACTTAGTTAATTGTTTTAGGTTAATCAAAAAGGCATGAGACCATGTGAAGTTTGCAGTGAAAAGGCAGCATTGACTTTCATTTCTTTTTGCTTTAAAATTCAGATAAAGAGTAAATGCAAAATCACATTTTTGTTTTAATTAAAATCTTTTACTGTAGTTCACTGTGGATAAAATGCAGAACAAATCCAAAGATAAGCACAACTGGATTTTTTAAAAAGGTTATTGCTTTTTGTGATATTTACTGGCACTTTATTGTTCTCCATTTAACATCCCAATTTCATTTCTGTTTTAGTTGAGATTTTCTGTGATACTGACTTTATCTAAAGCCTGAAGAGAATGGACAGGATTTACTTCAAATCACATGCAGGTGAGATTTAAAGATGTTTACTTCTGTTTTTGTTAGATTCTGTCATTTGCTGTGTAGCAAAATAAAAATCCCTTATGGTTTTTAATGCATGCTTTGATGCAAGTGGTGAAAAACAAAGGTAGAAAAAAGTGGTTTTGTCTCTTAATATGTTAACCCATAGGAATGCTTAATACAGGTGTGTCATTCCATTATGAGGTAGACCTTATATTTGTCCTTGATTTGAAAATCTTACAAGAAATGGTTGTCATGCTGATTCATAGCTACTTTATTATGTCTAGACTTCAATGAGTATGTACTGGCTGTGTAAAGGTAGTTTATATGCATATACGTCATGCTTGCACTGATGATACAAATTATTGATCATTAAAGGGTAATTTCTCCCTTTCAGGTTGAGGTCCTTCCTGTGAACATGTAGAGGGGTTCTTGCAGTAGAAGCTTTTCACAGATATAACAGATCTGCTGGTCAATTTGATATGGAGTTCAGAACTGCATGTGTGCATTTTAGTAATTCATTACCCAGGATGCATATGATTTAGCAGTTAAAACAAGGACAGATGGTATTCACGTGATGGTAAAATCCAATCAAACAAAGCCTAGAATATGTACACAGTAGTTGAGGTACCTCATATCTTGGACAAGTTTCTCAGCTGACAGAAGGTACCATATTTGTGGCCTGCTGAGAAAGAATGAGGATCCACCCCTCCAGAGTAATAAGGGCTCTGCTCTCTGCAACAGTTGTCCTTTTTATAATATTTAATGTTCATCTCTTTGTGTATCAGCATACACATCCCATGGATGGAGCAGATACCTTGCAGGGTGGTCAACGTGCCACATTTTCTCAAGAAATCCGCTCTGTGGTCAAGGCTCAAAATGCATTAACTGGAGACAAATTGAGCAACCAAAGGACTAATGTCTCAGACATTGCTAATATTAAGGGAATGGTAACAAACAAAGCCAACAAGAAAATAGAACACACTTGGGAAGATATAGATGAAAGCAACAAAACAGCTATTAAACTTGCAATGGACAGAGTCAACCAGGAAGAACTTGTTTACAATTTAGACAAATTCAAGCTACAGTTCACCCCAAACAGTGTTGTAATTGTCGTGCAGGTTCATGACAGGATACAGTATTTGAAATTTCTCCTGCGTTCTTTAAGTGAAGCCTATGATATACATAAGGCTTTGCTGATTATCAGCCATGATTTCCTGAGCAATGAATTGAACAGAGTTGTACAGAGTATAGATTTCTGCCCTGTAAGTAAAATATCCTCAGTTCATTTTGTTGGAGGTAACTGTTGAACAAGCTCATGATAGATGCAAATTGTTTTTGGAGTTAGAAATTATAACTAAGAGAGCCATACATTTTTATTAAAATGACCATTTTGCTTGGCATTACTTGAATACTAAAAATGTTTTAATTCTCAGTATTCCAACACTCATCCCTTGACTCTTGAACAATGATGATTGATTGCATTATTATTATTATTATTATTATTATTATTATTATTATTATTATTTTATTGTGACAGTGTTTCTATAAAATTGATTTGAAAGCCACTTAAATGTCAGTTCCAAAATATAAGGGTTACGTAGGCTTCTTTATCTTGTAGGTGGTGCAGATCTACTACCCCTATTCCATGCAGGTCTTCCCAGATGTGTTCCCAGGAAAGGATCCCAAAGACTGCCCTAGGGATATAAAGAAGGAAAAGTAGGTGGATTTGTTACACTTGAGGGGTTGATTCATTTGTATCTTAAAATGGAGAAGCAAAAGTCCTTACTAACCTTGGTAATGACTGATGCGAAAAAGGAAAGGGCATTTAGGGAGTTAAACATTCATCCCCTTTGAAGACCAAGTTAAAATTATTACAAAGTTTGCATTATTTATTGAAACAGCTGGATAGATAATGTATGAAAACTGAAATTGTTTTCTAGGGCCAGAGAAATTAAGTGCAATAATGCTGACCATCCAGACAAGTATGGTCATTACAGGGAGGCCAAGTATGCACAGACTAAGCACCATTGGTTCTGGAAGGTAAATATTTATGTTTAGGTTTGTTACATTGTATTGAGACGCCATGGCCAGGTGTACTAGCAATTCTGGTTCTGAAAAGAAGCACACTTTTAGAAACTACATGTATTGTCGATTAAGTTGAAATGACAGACTTCATTCCACAAAAGAAGTGAACATTTGAGTCACATTGATGACACACATTTTATGTAATATTCACATGATTTCAATAAACAACATTATTATTGCTGCTTTATTACATGGTATCGTCCATTATGGAAAGAAATCAATAGTTATTAAAAATTGATATAAAACAGTTAAATTATGGCCTGTATTTCCCTCTGATTTACAACTTCTGATGTCATTGGTATGTTACTAATGCATAAATTATTTTATTCACCTCTCTATGATTTGATAGATAAATAATGAATAATAACAAGAATTGAGTTGCTTTGGCAAAGGTCTGCGCTCTCTGAGTGCTTTTCTCATATGTTATATTTTAGTTTTCAGTGAAATGATAGTTTTGGTTGGTAATAAGATAAATCCATTTTTGGTTGGTAATAAGATAAATCCATACAGTATGTACCACAAAATGTAAATTGCAAGTGTTAGAGATAATAGGTGAACCTGGGAGTCTGGTACCTGCCATTCAGGTTTAAATTAGTATTTATGCTGGGTTTTCAATGCTGCATGTTGGTTAGTGGTTTTTTCAATGTGTATTTTTTTTTTTTTTTTTGCTATGTTAGTTAAAATACTGGCCTTGAATGATGCTAAAGATAATAGCTTTTATTCCTATTTATGTGGCTAATTCACCTAAATGTTTTCTGCAACAAGTTCTGAAAAATTTTTTTGGTTAACCACTTCTTTTAGTGTTCATGAGGTTAAAATTGTTTTGCCTGAAAATTTTATTGAATTTTTAAATCACATTTAACATTATTCTTGACTAAGGCTGTTATTCCATGCATTTTTGAAAATATTATATGAAATAAAATATGATAATTTTCCATATTTTTTCCAGATTAACTATGTGTTCGATGAGCTTTCACTTACAAAGGGCTTTGATGGCTTAGTCTTACTATTGGAGGAAGACCATTACGTAGCTCCTGACTTCCTACATTCCCTCAGTCATATGAAAAACATTAGAGATGAGTAAGTTTAATTCCACTTTAAATATAAAACCTGTTTTTTTCACATCCCATTATGCAGTCACAGTCTGATAATTCAGCCATTTAGTGTCTTAATTACCTAGGCTGAAGATTATAACACATTTGATTTCCCCATGAGGACTAAGCACTTAAAATTTTTATGATCCTTATGTTCATTTGTGGTTGTTTCATCATGTTTATGTTAGGGCTCATTCCTATTGAAACTATTGATCTACCTCGATGGATCCAATTCTGCAGGGACTCTTGCTTAATGTAATCAGTCTAACAGATTAACAGTTCGCCTCTTGTGCCAAACATACTTTTTTTTTCTTTATTTTACACAAGGCATGATAATCTGTTAAACTGATTGCATTCAGCAAGAGTCGGAGATGGATCAGTCTTTGTAGACTGATAGTTTCAATAGGAATGAGCCCTTAGTCTGCCTCATAATCAATTTTACAATTTTCCAGAAGATTCAAATCGCTTGCTCACAGGTAGTAATAGACTACCAAGTTACTTGGTATGCATTATTGTCTGGTCGCATTACTTTTGAGGAATATTTCACTTGCAAACATTGCAGTTTGGTGTAAGAGAAAAATCGGTGACCAAAACAGAGAATTTCATGATCACCATGATTGTGAAAGGGTCACATTCTGGTGAAAGGGAGGCATTAACAATTTTTGAGACTTTTATTATTATCATAAAGAAATGACTTTTATGCATTCCCAAATGAAGAAATAGTTTAAAAAGAAAAGTTCGCCCTCATGATATCAGTTAAAAGTGAACCCCACTTCATACAAATTCTCACACTTAGGCTTCGTTCACATGCAATGTCTATTTTCTAAATTCTATTTTCTATTCGCGCTATCTTATGATCACGGTCTGTGCACTGAATATCCCGCCGCGTAATTACTGGCAGCGCGAGCCAGTTACTTATAGTAACTTATAGTAACTGGCTCGCGCTGCCAGTAATTACGCGGCGGGATATTCAGTGCACAGACCGTGATCATAAGACATACCGCAAATAGAAAATAGAATTTAGAAAATAGACATTGCATGTGAACGAAGCCTTATTGTTTTGTTTGATGTCATGTACAGTTGTAAAAATCTATTAGAGTATCTTGGATGTTGCCCATATAGCTTGTTAAAAGCCTACCTCTCATGTACATAATGCTTAGGGTTTTCCACAGGTGGTATACAGGTGCTAGAAATTACCTCCATGTCATACAATTTTATGTAAACATTATTTGCAGCAGTCTTCTGTGAACAAATAAAATGGTATGTGTTAAATATTTATTTAATAGAAATAACACACAGCTGTATCATATCATATTGGGTAAATTGAATATTAAAAGAGTTACAGCGATCCATAATAAAGAACTTCCTATCATATGTATACAATAGTTTGAGAATTTATTTTTTGAAATGGTATGTTGTCTCAAAGTAATTTGATATTATTATATCTTAACCACCAAATTGCTCATTTTGAACAGTTAAAACATTCTTATTTTTAGGAGTCAAAAGTCTGTGGGTATTCTTACCCTGGGTACCTATGACAAGAAGCCCACCTATGGTCCCCAGTCCAGGCAGGTAAGTAGCCAAGATGGTAATTAATTGATGCTATAATGTTTTTGTAATGAGCTATAGCCACCTGTTATTGTGACAGTTAGCATCCATTTAAACAGCATAGCAAAACCCTTCGATTTCTCAAAACTTGATGAATTTAACTTGCATGTCCATTATATCATGGAAGTGAAATCTGTATCAATGGCTACTTTACTTTTGCCATGATTCCATATTTGTCAATTTAGAATGCTTTCATATTTTCCCCATTTCTCCATGTGTGATATGTTATGCCTGTTAAGTAAACCCATTTACAATGGAATGATTTAAAATTGATATAAATCTTTTTTAATGAATACACTTACATAATATTTTATTGCGATAGATTTGTTGATTAAAAGTTCTGTGCTTTATGCATTTCTTATGGTGTGCTTAGTAACTGCACTTTTATATTAAAAGATTGCTTTGTCTAATCACCAAATTGAATCTCTTTTTAACTGCTTTTAATTTCTAGTTATTGTAGTTGTCTCTTTTTTTATGTAATACTCTGTGCCTCGAGGCAGATTCTCAAGATTTAGCAAGCAGATTCACAGGTTTTAATGCCTTACATAACAATTCCATATGATAAATGTGAAACCAAGACTATACATGTAAATTTATTGATATAAAGCTGTTTACTAATTGTCAGTGATGGGATGTAGCAAGTTGACAGTAAACCATTTCTGACCATGAAATTTTTGTCCCTATATTTAATCTGTTAGTAATTTTATGACAATTCCATATCCCAACTTTTCTCCACAGTAGAAAGTACTAGTATTACCTGTCATATGTCTACTGTACACATTTTACTCAGATCCTGTACCCATTATAGTCTCCATTACTCTAAGATGAATGTAACACATTTTTCGTACCTGAAATTTATTTATTTATTTGCTCATCAAAATTTCAATGTGATAAACAATATCAAGATAAAAAATCCCAATGCTTCACAATGTTTAATCAACAATTAATATTGGCCAACACTGATAAACTATGCTCCACTCATTTGCATTTTGAGCTTTGACTTTGGATTGACCATTTCTACTATAGGGTTTGATAGTCTTCCTGAAGGAGTTATTTGGTTATGCAAAACCTGAACATCTTCAAGATGTAAGTCTGATCTACTGCATGCTTATACGGGGACCTTGGGGGTTAATTATAGCTTTCTGTTTAGTACATGGTGTTTGGACATGCTTAATATCTAACAATTGTGAAGCTCATTAAATTTTTCTTTGTATCAGAACTGGGCAGATGGATGTCCTGCAAGCTACTACACATACGGTGTATCCTGTTTGCTTTTTTGAAGTGTGTTTTCTTGTGTTTCATATGACCCCCAACCAAACATTGATTTAGATTATGTTGGTGTTTTGTACTAATATTGTATATAGAGTTTGTTATTTTCAAGCAGTGATTCTTTGTTCTTATCCCACCAAGTTTTCTTTATGATTGAAGTAAAAAGAAAAAATACAGCAATATCTGTGTGTTGAAATATCATTTTCACAAGCATGACACCAAACTGTGAAATATTATCATGGTCATATATCATTAATTGCATGAAAAATTATCAACAAGGTGTTGGACAATTAACAGTGCAGTATTTGACAAAAACATTCAATGGAGCATTCGACAACAGTTGTCAGTGCATTAAACAAAAAAGCCAGTGCAGCAATAAATGGCAATTATTAAATAAAGCATTGGACAGCATTATCAGTGCAGTATTGGACAGCAATTATTACTTAAGTGTTGGATAGCAGTTATTACTACAGTCTTGGACTCCGACAGCAGTACTCGAGGCAGTTATGGACGATGGTCATCATTATTGCAATATATATATATATATATATATAGCTGGCAAGGCAATGTTTGATGATAAAGATTCCTGCAAAGTTCCCTGCAAGACAGTAATGGACAATTTTCAGTGTAGTATTACATAACACCTTTTTGGGATTTATGCATGTATCAAAAACATAACTATACTAATCAGGGGTGGGTTGTGGGAGTGAATAGGTACTAAGTCTAATCATGGTTAATCTGGATCCAGACTAGGTTTTAGTGATCATGGAAGATCAGAGCCAATCAGCTTTGAACATTCTGGTATTAAGTAATAGATAAACACTTACCCTTTATTTCTTTCCAGCTGGTAGTGTGTTTTATTTTACAGACCTTAAATGGGTTGGGACCAGTCTAGTCATATTATCCTTTTGCATGGATAGATATTAGTATTACCCTATAATCTCTGTACTGCATTTCAAGTCTTTTTACCTTACTATAAAGTCAAAATCTTTGCACATCTCTTTATTTAAAGTTGAACAATTCTGCAGTTGTCTTTACTTGTGTTTATATCATGACAAAACTTCTCTTTCACTTTTTACTAGTTTTTGATAAATGCATGTTATTTTTAGTTCTTGCCAAATTTCCACTGCATCAATGTATCTCGTAGCTACCTTTCCTTGGTTAATACTTTAAGGAATTCAGCTATCATCTTCTATCAGGAATTGCGAAAAGCTTGTTAGGAACATATCTATATGGTGTATCTCTTTGGCTTACTGGCATCTTGAATGGATCTGGATTACTAGCATCCTGAATTTATAATCAACTACCTGTCAATTAAGATGAAACAATTCTATATATACATAATGTATACACAAAAAGTTTATAGATATCATTTGCATTAGTTATTTCTTATTTTATGATCCTGTATTATTATGCTAGGCTGAGCCAACCTAACTTAAATTTGCCTACATAAAAGATGTAGTTTAACACAATATGCACATTAAAAATTAAAGAAGATGCTGGAGATCTTTCTTTGAGAGCTTTTGTTGCCAGAATTTTCAGTTAAAACACCATAAAGATCTGTTGCCCAAGGTTTTTCTTCACAACACTGTCAGAGGGGATGGTGGATGTTTGGGCCCCTGCTTCACTATGCATTTTACTTTGCAGGTTGATATAACAGAATGGATTTCATCCAAACACAACATGGGAATGGCTATGGACAGGAATTGGTGGGAAATTATCAGAAAATGTGCTCAGGTAAATAATAATTATTATTTGTAAAATTGTGTGGTGTGTTGCTTCGTTAATTGAATGTGAGATGTGAAAGTTAAGTTTTAAAAATTAACAGCTCTTCATATGAGATTCAAAATTTCACAATAAATACATTGTGAACAACACAATGAAATATAATAAATTCCATTTTACCACCAAAATGGCGATTATCGCAATTATTCTGAAATCTGTGCTTGCCAGTCCATAGGACCACGTGGACCTTCATGGATGGCTACCCTCCTTAATAATCTCTAAAGATATAACAGAATGGATCTGGATCTCTAAAGAGATTATTTCAAAATCCACATTAAAAAAAACTATTACTAACTTTGAATGTTGGAATGGATTCCTGAACCATTGGAAAGTATGGGAAAATTGTCATTTACCCCAGGAAAATCTGTTTTATGGCACTTCTCTGCTGTCACGAAGAGTTGTCATCCCTTTGAGAATATTGATATAGAGCTTTGTGAGATATAGGGTATGCAATCAGCCAGGGTAATGTATTGAAAGAAGTATCGTTTTTCTGGAATAAATGAAGTCTTTTTTGTTTTAGGTATTTTGTAAATTTGATGATTACAATTGGGACTGGAGTTTACAGTATGTAAGTTCTACCTGTATAGCTGGAGGACTGAAAGTGATGTTAATGAAGGGGCCAAGAGTGTTCCATATAGGAGAATGGTAAGTGCTGGTGGTAATCCATGTAGAGAGAACACAGTATTCTTTATGAAAAACATGAAAATCTTTTTGTCTATTTGTAAAGTATTGAAATTGCCCACATATTGACTCCCTCATTCTGCTTTATGAAGATTTATTTAGTGATGCACATTCAAGTGCTATCACAAGCAGTTTTTAAAATTAAATTTTGATCCCTTTAATAAATCTTTTTGCAACAGTAGTCAGCAACAAAGCCAACATTTGTAAACGGATATAGGCCGCATTCAGAACAGTGAACCAACTAGTCAGCAGGCCAAATATGGCGACCCACTAAAAAGCTTGCCATCTAATCCGCAAATAGACACTGAATAGATTCCCTGTTGGGAAGTATTCAAGTGGGTCAGCCATATTTGACTCTCAGACTAGTTAGTCCACTGTTCTGAGTGCAGCCATATGAAGGTACATTTGCACCAAACATTGGTGGAGTATGGATTCCCAGTAACACATTAACCACTTCTACTAGTTTCTGAAAAGGGCTCAAATAAAGTCAACATGCCAAGGGATAAACCAAATGAATTATTCAATCAGCTGTTTCGATATATTTGGTCTATTGAAGGCATACTATTGAAACTTAACTGGTATGGTGGCATTTGGTTGGCTTTTGTGGCAAAAAAATTGACTTCAAATGCATCTTTAAGTCTATCCTGTTTCCTTTTCAGTGGTGTTCACCACAAGGGTAAAAACTGTGATCCTCATGCCAAGGTGCAGCAGATCAGTAGCATGCTGGCAGCCAACAGACAGCACCTGTTTCCAGATAAACTACAAGTATCCCATGTCATAAATAAAAAATCTAAGTCACCAAAGGGAAATGGAGGTTGGGGAGACATAAGGGACCATGAATTATGTTTAAGTTTCCTAGAGCATCAAAAGCCAACAAAAACAACAAGGTAGCATACTTTGACTAGGGATCCAAATGTATGGTGTCAAGGCCTCCATAGGAACATATGTATCGTGATCCAGTTGCCAGTAGAAGATGGATGATGAAGGAGATAGTGTATTAGCTCAAATTATCACTAAAGAGGGGAGGGCAGTGAGTATAAAAAGGATCTGAATAAGCAGTGTCATTAACTTGGAGTAGTAGCAGTAGAAGTTGTCACTGTATTTCCTTAGGTGAATGTAAATGCTTGGTGGATACAGATTACGTGAGCTCAATAGGTTATGAGCATGTTTGACAACCAATTTCTGTAGGCTTTCTCTGGATTATGCAAGTTTTACCTAGCTATAACTTTTACTGAACAATGAACATGTTACATTCTTGATATCTTGATAATGGGTAAATAGTACAGTGGATTCAAAACATTACTCGGGAGGTTGAAAACGTACAGTAGACTTTGCCTGCCACTTTGAAAGGAGAGAAGGACTCCATCTATTGTACATGTACATGTACATGTATATCGTACATGTACATGTATATCAGGTTGATCATGGCAGAAATTAATTGATATCAGACCTCAATTACTTAATGTTTCATAAAAAATTTAATATTGTATATTACAACATGTTGAATTTGGATGAATGGACACTAGTCTATGATTAAGATACATCACCTTTTGTAAATTTGCAATTGCTTCTCTTTCAAGTAACTTTTTCTGCGTGATCATTTTGTCAAAAGGTGTAGAACAGACATTATGGAATTGATTTAGTCAGTTTTCTATAAACATTTAGAATGTGTATATAAATTTAGTAATCAAAAGAGTAGTGGGACATGAACTTATTAGTCAATCATTAAAGCTTAGCATTTTTTTGGGCTGTTCGAAGCTGTTTGTCTCAGTATTAAATGCACAAAATAACCTTACTTTTTGGTGAAATGTAATTCAGCCATATTACTGTATATCAGTTTGTTTTTTCATCCATGTTATTTACACTGAAAAACATGCTTTAAATAAAAAAAAAATACTTTATATGAAATCCAGTTCCATTTAATTAAGCAAAAGCACTTATTTGTAGTATAATTTACAACGCTAAAACTAGTTTGACACATTTACGTGTGCATTGGTGACTATTGCCAGTATCTCATTTTTCAAATGTTTTAAATTGAAGCAATATTTCATAGATTAATTCTTTTATTTAATATTTGTATTAACTAATAAAAAGATGATTTCTAAGATATGGTTTGGTATTCATTTATTTGTTTTTGCTGGTGAAGTGGACCATTATATGCTATACTCTTGGAGCTTATGGAGACCTGTTTCACTTACATGCACAAATGAGCACCAAAGTAAACATGGTTTAATATTAAGACAGATTTATAAATATACATGGGCAAGCAAATTACAGACTATGAAATGTTGGAGGAAATGCACTATAATTTGGCTAATTAAGTGCGTACCATTGGTGTGGCATGTAGAAATATCATGAGCGATTCTTATTAAATTATTGAACTAGATAAGCAGATTTGATTCTTCAATCCAAAAGTTAGATTTTATCATGCCTTATTTGAAGGCTGGTATATGCTTGTCATTTGTTTAAGTAGAGCCTCGTCTAAAAAGAAGGCCACATAGGTAAACTAAGCTGACTGGACCAAGGTGACATTGTGTCACATCTATCGCTGGTAATTATTTTCAATCCAGAAATGCTTGTGACAAAAGGATGCAAAATTTTGATTCCTTTCAACCATCTACTTAGTAACATTCTGTAAGATGCTGATACATCTGTATGAGAAGGAAACCCAAATCATATTTCAGTGTATCAAACAATGTTACAACTAATCACGTCAAAATGGATTTGAAATAATATATTGCCAAATGAAGAGGGGTGTGCCATATGTTATGAAAGTGAAATTATATGAAAAGTCTTTCAAGTGCAGCACCACAAAAACTAAAAAACTCATAAATCATAATATAAGAGAATGCATGTGAAACTGACATGCATTCTCTTAATATATATATAATATATATTATCATTCTAAATACAATATTGCACCCAAGTTGCAAATCAACACAAAAGTGAAGGTAGACTTAACCTCAAACAACCACTGGTTCTATCTACTTTAATGCAAAGCCCGTTTGAGCTATCCTCAACAACACATACTATCAAGTCTAGAAACTAAGGCCATTTTCACATTGAGCAGTAGTTTTCTGTACCACACCAGTTCAAATTTTCTTAGCATAAAATTTCAATCGGGGGGAATGTAGGTACCCCCTTTCGCAAGCCCTTATGCATCAGTCAAAATTCACTGGGTTAACTGGCCTTGTTAAGCATGGTGGCTCTGTTTAAGTGCATATTGCATAATTTTCATACCATTATTAATTTGCCAATCTCTCTAACTACAGCAATGCAGAAAACTATCGCTCTGTGTGAAAAGGGGCCTAAGTGAGAGAGAACCTTACAATTTGCAAATGCAAATGTTCTCCACATGATGCAAAAAATATCACTTGAAGCACCAAAATCCCATAGATATATGAAGTATCATAAATATCTGTATGCTAGGTTATGTTTATACATATATGTGGAGCATTTTGAGGTGCTTACATATATAATGGTGGATAATGTGAAAAGTGGTTATAGCAGAACCAGACAAAACACAAAAAAAAAACTTTATCCTTTCTGTTGCACAAATTCAGGTTTGCTGTTTGATAGGGGTACTCGTATACAGAATTCAGACTAAATCATTTGAAAGACATCAGCAAATGCTGGTGACAGGCAAATTTTTCACATATTTCTGAAAACACTCAAATACTCATTTCCAATAAAAATACAGGTCAGGAAGAATGAACATTTCTAATAGCTGTGGTGTTGAAAAGACCATTATTATTATTGGAAGAAATGTGTTAGGTGAGACGGTTGCTTGCAAATACCTTTCCAACAGGCATCATTTACATAATGAACAGCACACACAAAGGTTTGCATGTTCATAATCAACACCAGTTTAACCACCTTACTTAAATTCAGAATGAATCCATGTACTTTTCAAATAAAACAGAGGTATATGATACAAAATGAGATACAGCGTATATACTTTACATGGTTGCATATCATCTTGGACAAACAATAAATGTATGTTATGAGGTTATGATATACAATCTATTCCATGACTAAATCATTTAACTGGTTATTCTGGTTACTTAACACGTTTTACCCTCTTTAAAGTTTATTATTATAATTATTATTATTATTGTCACAGTACTTTACTTTCTCAATAATAATAATAATAATGTTGATGGCTTAAATTGCATACACAAAGTCAAATATCTTTATATGTATTCTATTATATTGTCAAATGAAAATGTTTCGGAAGTGGGTTTTCTATAAGAAACATTACACTGTATACTGATAACTAATAGAAAACAATGTAAATTTACTATTAGTCTTAGAACCAAAACATGCAACTGATATTGATGTAGATGATATTTGCAAACAGATCACTATAGTCCAGTGCAGTCTGCTCTCTATGAAGTACAGCAAATAATTTCAATGTTACAATGATTTTGTACATCCTACTACAGTAATGGTACATTAACGTTCAAAGTGCCACTAGGCTTCCTTTAGACAATGTCAGGTCATAATGCAGCATGTAGCATACATAACCATTCAAATAAATAAAATATTCTAACATGTATAATTCCTATGATTCTATTATGTTATACATCCAAATAATGGGATAAAAATGTGAAAAAAAGCATTGTGAAAAACATAAGCAAACTAAAAAGTGGTACTGCGATCCTGTACACAGATATGAAACCTGTCAATAGTTAAAATGTATCCCTGTAATATTATTATTTGCTTACTGGAATACACACATCATGTCAACTACTGATCCAACAGTATTAATTGGTGAATAATCAAACATATAATCTAAAACTGTCCAAAAACCACCAATCTAAATATCTATCAATAACAATTCCTAGCTCATTTTGTCATTGTTGAACAAAACATTGCCAAAGCACCAGACTTAATTAATCTCTGTCCATTCATATGCACTGATGTATTTGAATCCTTATTGAACCCTACTTACTGAACCATCCCCCAAAAATGAGAAATGTCAAGAAAATATTACTGTCAATTGTTTCCAATCACTTAAAATCATTATAACAATAGCTTTGCCACAACCATTTACAATACAGACATCACTGAAAAAAATAACCCATTGGGTAAAGAAAAAAATTGGTTGTCAAGAACACTTAGAAAGTGATTCTTTTCAGTGAAGAGCACATCATGCCCAGGATGTATCAACCAGAAAGCTGCCAATGATGTAAGACCCACTGACTTCTCCCTCCATGATAAAACATGCCACAAACTTTCTTGATCTGAGGCACAAGCTCCCCCATTTTCAAAATTTTACAGCTATCATGAGAGCCATGCATGGGTCTAGGACTCTTTATTTTTGTTAGAAAATCTGAAGACACCCTTCACTCGTCATCAGTTTCTCCATCACTGGATAAAGTCTGTTGGCACTGAGATCTTGTGGGAGACTGAACAACATGAGCAATTTTCCTATAGCGGTCCAGCCATTCGTCCATCATTTGGCGAACCTGTGTGGGCTGCTTGCCAAACTTCTGCTGTGCAACAAGTAATCCACCATCAGTGACACAACAGTCTAACCAGTCCCTGAGAATGGCTTCCTCTTTACCAGTCTGCGTGAGAGGAAATAATAGAGTTGACAAACAAATTATCGATGTATAATCTATCATGCAAAATGCAAAAAAGCTAACTGCATTACGTCCCATTAGATGAACTGCTTTTTATGACACATCCTATTTGAGAAGTTTCAACTAACACAACTACATATCAAGTTAAAACATACCAGAAAAAAACTAATTGTAAATACAGTGGCAAATCAGGTACCTTGACTAATGGCATATTGCCACCTTAAAGCTACCATGATAACAATTTGAAGGTAAAGCAACTCTACAACAAACATAAACAGGTTCAAAAAAGATGTGTGCACGGAGCAATTACTTACCTCTGAGGCTGTGAGAAAATGAACAGGGAGAAGCTTCCCTTCACTGTCTGTCAATGGCAAGTAAGCAGTTTGAGCATCCTCATTGGTATCTATATTAGCACCAGCTCCTACGTTCTCATCTGTGTCTATCTCCATGGCAACTAAGGCAGAAAAATGCCCCCTGGTGTAGCCCAGAGCAATGGGTGTCTTCCAACAGAAACTCTGCTCCCACAACAGAGGCAGGTACACACCTAGAACATGATATAAAAATTCAATTTTACGTCACAAAGAAAATATGCATGATATGTACATTTGAAAAAACTTGACATGGAATTTTAAGTCACTTATGCGTTCTAAAAGTCTTCAAACTGTGCCAGTTATATGGTACAAAATGCTAGAGTCAAATGAAGACTTAAATGAAAATAAGTGTACAAACAAACACAGGAATTATTCTTCACATGAGATGCATTAACCTTGAAATCTTGCAATTCCAATATTTTCTCCTCTAAAATTCTTGACAAATTTAACTCCATAAACAATTATAGGTCTCCTTAGGATATGTGCCACTGCAAAAATATGGATCTGTTCCAGCGCAGCTCCTAAAGGATAAGAATACATATATATTTTTATAGTAAGAAGATAACGCTTTTTTAAATGTCTACAACTCAAATTTGAAATCATCCTGGCAATAGTCTCCATTGTGAAACATTCTTTCAAGATATTCTAACCTGCTTTTTTCCCATGCTTTAGAATTGACTTTAAGAGTCAGTATAATATCACAACAAGAACTTACCTGGTTGGCCAGCTAGACTGAGAAGTATGGCCCAGTCTTGCTGCCACTGGTTCTCCTCTAGACTGAACTGCATGGTCTGGGCCTGTACAGACTCATACTCTTTCCATCTTGGATAGAATCTACAAACAGCAAGGTCAACCTTACAGATTACCAGATTTCCCAATGATATCATATGAAAACTTAATTTTCAACATATAAACACCTAAGATGATTATTAATTTCCCTTGATTTTAAAAGTGATTTTCTCAAGAGAACAAAAAAAAATTTTTTTTTAAATATTGTTCATTTGAATGTTGTGTATTTTAGCACAACAATCCTGTATTCCTGCTACAAATACAATAATAATAATAATAAACAATACTTGTATTTCCAAATATTCTTGACACAGGAAGGGTTAGAGTGTAGAGGTCACTCACGTGCAAGCTCCCTCAGTCAAGCTGTCTGACATGGCCCTCCGTAATGTGTTGTCCCTGTCAAAAATTCCCCAAGTGGACTGGAGCACTGAGTCTAGGAGGCAGTCCCCAGCTGTACGGTTCCACAGAGCATACAACCTACTGCCAAGCCTCTCTGTAATCTCATGGCTCCAATTGATGATTTGCTCTTCTACTTCCAATTCTACAACATATGGTATAAATGTGTGAAAAACAACTAGTATATGCAATTACACAAAGACATGATCAATTCTGCTTGGGTTTACTAAAACTACCCATAACATTTTAAAAGAGCTTTTGCAATATAAAATTTGAAGTTTGTTGAACAATACCACTTCGCACAAAAGATAAATTAATACAATATGCCAACATGTAAAACTACTGCATGTGTTAGCAAGAGTTTGTAGTTTTGTGATTGGCAGATAAAAACATCCAATGAAGTTCAGTTTTAGGTCCATAAACTTTACTTTGTTACTACATTAACAAATGAATTGTAAATTGAAAATATTACAATGATATCTTTTCATGCCACTTGTCTTGTTAAAAATAAACAAGAAAGAAATAAAACCTTACAGGTCCATAAACTTTATGTTGTTATTACATTAACAAATGAAATGCAAATTGACAAAATTACAATGATTTTTTTATGCTACTCATCTTGTTGAATATAAACAACAATGAAATAGAACCTAATGTGCAGCTTTTACACCTGGTGTTTACATTATCAATTACACTTGACATATTATACAGCATACCTAGCAGATTCTTTATTAGGGAAAAATCCATATTCTCGTCTTTATGTCAGTCATAGAAATCTCATTGATAATTTATCTGTTGTATATTTCACTGTGATTTATACATACATGGGCATCTGCCATGAACATATAATTCAGAACAGCAGTTATATTTTGCTTTATGAGTGGATCATGTTACAACATTATATACCTGTTACATGAAATCACTGTAATGCCTAGACCAGCATCTTATAAACTTGTGGTTGTGAGCTTAACATGGCACTATAGCATTGATTCTTTACAGATTATTTTTCCTGTGAAGGTGAATAAAAAATATCAGACACTTTTTTCACCTCAACATTTGGCATAGGTTTAGACTATAAAATGAAAAAAATTTATGTCCTGATATCCCGCATTCATGTTGCTTCACAATACTCTAAAGGAAATATGAAACATGAAACCATCCTGTTTCAACAGGTTGTTTTCAAAATCTGCTGTTGCTGGTAATATAACCTTCCCACAGCTGGGGTGTAGAATGGTTTTCTTCAGCAAAATGAAATCCCTGTTTTATTTGCATGCTTCACACAAAATTTTGGCCAGTGAAAATTGACACCCGTTTCTATGTCAGTGACAGTCACTGTTTCAGCTCAGATATGACTTATACTAAATTTAACAAAAAAAAAAAAAAAAGTATGCCAGAATGAGTCCTGCATACACCAGACTTATAACAAATGAAGATAAACTGTACATGTAAATCACATCAGTGATTTTGTAGAGCTAGGTTTGGGAAATCAATACTACAGTACGATTCTTATGGAAAGACATACATATCTGGTCAATTGAGGACATGTAACCTGGGGCCAGGATGGAAGATGATAACATTAGCATGGAGAGCAATCTCATTTGTAATCCAGACTTAGAGAATGCCATTATAGCAGAGCAGGCAGTTCAACAAGCTTGATGAGCAAACCCAAAAGGTAGTTTGGCATACTTTTTAAATTTAGGAATTTCCCCAAAGCAGCCATGCCACTATATGCCTTAAAACAGATAGGCTTACCTTGTGTAGTTGGCTTTCTTTTTGTAAAACCTGACTCAAGGCTTTACTTTCACCTTGCTTTACAGCTGTTCACAACAAGGAAGTTTGAAATGTGTCTGACAACATTATGAAGCAGCCGACTTAAACAAAAAAGGCAAAACTTACACAAACCATACCTTTTTGAACATCTCTATCTAATAATTCATCAAACAACTGTTTTTGGACAGGCCTTGGAAGATCTTCAATGTCTAAAATGATAAAAAAAAAATACATGCTCAACATGGCAATCTTCAAAATCCAATCTTCACAATATCATCAATGTTAAAATCTAAGAATGGATGCAATTTCTAATGCACTTTCTATATATTTTATAAATTTCATTATTATTTTTTTATTTATTTTCATTTATGTTAACACTACCACATATTCTCCAAAAACTATTTGCAACTCAGGGATATAAAAAATTAATAAATGGTCAGGTTAAAGCAAAAATTATTTTAAAATATCTAATTATTCAGAAATGTGAAAGGATCCAGATAATGTCTGTGGTAACTACTGTAACTGAATTTTAATTTCAATGTAAAACATTTGAATATTTCCACTTTATCTTGTATACTAGCTTAGGTACTGGTAAGCAGATTACCATGCAAAAAAGTAACAAGGTTACAACTTGGTTACGATATATATATATATATATATATATATATATATATATATATATATATATATATATATATATATATATATATATATATATATATATATATATATATGACCTTTGCCCAGTGGGCACTGATATAGGATACATAACAGTTGGTCCTGAAATAGAACATACAGCACACAGGCATGCTGCAATTTTCCAATTTTTGGCCTCTCTCAACCTCCATCCCTTCAGCAGATTTGTCAACAATTGTGATCATTGGCTACATATTTCTTTCAAATATTTGCCTAAAAGTATTTCATTTTTTTTCACAAATTTTCATTAAATTGCCTTAGAAAAATATACTAGTAATTTGACTAAAATACGAACCATCATATGGTGAGCTCAGCATCATACTATGTTTCCTTTCATATTCCAATGTTTTCAGACTTCAGTGCATCCCACATATTATTAACTGCTTCATGCCGAGCAGTTATTTAAAAAATTTATTCAATTAGGTTTCTGTTTTTAGCCTTTCCTTCAGTCTACACAAACTAAATTGTATTGGTCAAACAGCCTTACTTTTATGTAATGAATTAAAATGTTTCGTGTTGAAAAGAATTATTTCAGATACGAAATCAATAGAACTATTGTCCTGCTTAATTATCAGTAAGAATGCATGCCAAAATTATTTAGGGACATGGTGATTTAATTAAATAAAGATTTATTTTTGACATTTTAACATATATCAGAGTTATTTCAGGTATTCAGTAGTTAAATCAGTTCATCCTCTATACTATCAATGCGCACAGATCTATGGCTCAGTCATTTCAGGTAAGATATGCTGAGGTGAATGCATTCATCTGGACTATGGCCAAAACAACCAGGTTACTCAGCATACAAACTAGCGAACTTACCCCATTCCTTTGACTCAGGAGAAATCATTTACTGCTGAATATAGCTCACTGGGATCATCACAAGATCCCACTCAATAGTCATTAGTGGTTTGGTTTGCATTTATAATACACAGTATTATGAAATAAACAGTTAAAAAACTTATTAGGGATACCTTAAGGGTAAACTAACCCATAAGTAACAGAATGCACCTCTATGTTTACAATTGGCCAATCCTTCTTGTGTTATTGTGTCATTAAGTACTCCAAACATTTTATGATAGTACTTGTTTCAGCTTATAAATCACTATTTTTATCCCAACAGAACAGACAAACAATCTCTGGTTTACTATAAGGACAAACATGTTTTCAACTTTTCCCACCATAGAGTAATTCCACAGGATTACCTAGTCTAAAACATCTTTTACCCTGGAAAACCTTCAGTGACATCTATTTATTCCATTTCAAGTAATCCGAAGTCAGTTACTACTACTCTATATATGTCTATTTTAATTGACATGCACAAAAAACAAAGGGGTAATATTGTGAAATAGCCCAATAAGACCAGTTCAAGTTCAATAAGACTAAAATGTATGCAATGATCTATGAGGCCATTTAGAACAGATCTGAGGATCTTATGTATTTCAGTTGATCTTGTATCTAATGAAATCCTGTACATTTCCAAATTAAGACAGTCATATTGTAGAGAGTAAAATATAACAATTTTCTTTCTTATTGCCAAAGATGACACACACTGGGCACAATTTCATAGCAAATGGTATAAATGTATCCAGCCTGCATCTGGGGCAATTTTTACTCACTTTTAACTAGTAGCTTACCTGTTGAAGGCTTAGAAGATTGCCAAGCTAAAAGTCCAGATTATTTGTGGGAAACCGTGTGGGGAACTGAACAAATGTTCCTTATATGTAAACAATACAACACTGTAGTATAGGTACATGAGGTTTCATTATGCAGGGCCAGCTCTAACACAGATAATGTGCTCATGTTGTTTGGGTGTTCTGACCACCTGAAATTGCCTGTAAACCACAGACTCGAGAATGGACAGAACTACTTAATAAGCTTTGTTCTTTTTTCATTTTTTTCATTTGTTCATCTTACAACTACACACTTACATATACATGTTATCTGGTCATCTAATGCCAAACAATATTATATTTTGCAATCTAAAATATCCCTGTCTGAACTGTCCTGTCTGAATGAGGCCTCGCATATCATACAGTAAGACAGTAATCTTACCTGTAGGGAGTGCAAAGGTAGCGCACTCAGTGAGGAAGTAACAAGGAAAGTCTCCTTTCCTTTGACGGATGGAAGATGAAATCTCACGCAATATTTCTGCTGCCAGATCAGGACTGACATGTGAAGGCATGCGTTTAGCTGCTTTACTGGCTACATCTGTGCTGGTTAACAAAACTGCTAACATGTCCTCTCGTTGAAAACGTATGGCTAGATGAACGATAGTGTACCCTGGCACAAATGCACTAGGTCTATTTAGTATAGCCACCTCATCAGCTGTCAAATGTCTTGCAGGGTCACCCCCTGACTGAATAAAAGCCTCCACAGCCTGAGCATCTCCTTCTACAACACCAGAACAGGCATTCAGCCACAACCAGTCACTCTCACACATGCGGTTCCTTATCTGCTTGAGACGCCTTCTTTCCTCTTTATTCTTTTCTTGATATATAGTGGGTGAAGGAGCTGAAGCAGAGGCTCCTCCTGAGGCCCCAGCTATCACCTCAGCACTACGAGCAGCAGGAGGAGAGCGAGGAGCACCTTTTGTGACTGCAGATATGCTACTTGTTAAATTTGAACCACTACTAGAACAACTGGTACTACTGCTGCTGCTGCTATTTGTGTTCTTATTATCACAAGCAGCACTATTCTCCTGTATAGAAGGTGAGTCTATGTGTCCATCCTCTGCACTTGCAGTCTCTGCTGCTGATGTACCTGAAGAAAAACGTCCGCGAGCTGTGCCACATATGACACACTTCTGTGAACGAGGCCAGTTCTCATATGTGCAAGCCTTGCAGCACCATTTTATCAATGCTGCAGCAACTGCTTTATTCCTGTCATTGTTATGCTCCTTTGTTGCCTCTGGTGAGCTTGGTGAGTTCCGTCTGGCAGCATATCGAGATCCTGAGGGTTCTGATATATTTACATTTATACTAAGAGGTTTGGTAAAACTATGAGTAGGAGAAGTTGGGGATGGAGACTTGAGTCTTGGGGTAAGACACTGTGTACATTTAATGGCTCTAGGCCAGTTGAGATAGGTACAAACATGGCAGGACCATTTTTTTCCAATGTCTGAAGAGGTCACCCCTGAGGTACTACTACCACTGCTTATGTTCCCATTGTCCACATCTTGGCAAATCAAGGGAGCCATTTTGTAGATATCTTGTTCCACTGTCTCATCATTGATGAGCTGTGGTGGGCGCAAAGCACGGCACAGAGTACAGCGTTTAGTAGCTGGGAAGTTTTCATAGGTACAATATTCGCATGACCACTTCCTCCCCTCATTCATGATGGAAGGCTTTGGGTACCAAACAAAATTGTTCTCCTAAAATAGTAAGGAAAACTATTAGTGACAGTCATAAACATAAAAAACTTGCATATAACTGAAACTGACATTTGGTATTATACTTTGCATTAACGAATATGACAAAATCAATGTGAGCAAAAATAACAAATGCAGAGTACAAAATACTATAAAAATTTGTTACTGGCAAAATACTAAGGGCACTTAAAGGTACATACGAACTGAGCATCGGTGGAGCGTGGATTCCCAGTAACACATGTAAACCACTTCTACTAGATTCTTATATGACTCAAATAAATTCCACATGCCAAGGGATAAACTGAATAGATCACTCAATCTGCCATAAAAGACCTTTAGACTGCTCCTTTCTTTAAATTTTTGGTTGTAAATTTAACCTACTTCGGTGACCTACTTTCCTGCCCCATTGACATACAGCTTAGAATGCCAGCAGAAAAATCTGTTCAAACATCATTTTCAGGTAAAATTAAAAAATGCCTTTTGGTAATTCTCTTAGTTATACTACTTGAAACTATATGCTGGCATTTATTTGGTTTTTGTGACAAAAAATTGACTTTGTATGCATCTTTAAAATGTTTACAAACAGTAATGTGAGACTTATAAACCTTACCTGGGGAAACGCTAACACTCGCCAATTTAGCCAAATGCTAAAAACTGACATAAATTGGCTAAACAGAAAGGGCTTGATTTGACTTGTTTTAGTCAAATTATAACCATTTGGATAACAAATTGACAAAAAAATGGTGATTTGACTAAGCGTATCATGACCAATCAGTTTACTGCTTTGTTTGACAAAGGGTATTGATGAACAATTTAGAAAAAATTAAAAAAATATGTACAAACTGCATTTTGTTATTAGCTGCATAACTTCTCTGTAATCTGAATACTTATACCAAAAGCAATTCAGATTTAGTTTAATGAATTATTGATTTAAGAATTATGGGTACCATAATACTGTAATTTTCATACAAGTACCTACTTGTAAATGGTTCATTTGTCACAAAACATCATCCTATTTAACAAATATGTTGTCAAGCATCATTTGGAAAAAGTCCACTGAGACCAGTACTTACAGATCCTAATATGGAAACTCACCCATGCTGATATTCCCTAGAGCACAACTCATCATAAAAAATATTGAACCTAAAGATTAAGGCTTTTCTTCAAGATAAAGTGAATATTCAAGTGAGGGTTAGCCTTTCCTTACTTAGTACCTAATACATACTATTACTATTTGGAATTGCATACATATAAAATCAAATATGTACCAGATTATAATTGTGTGATATAATGAGAATCTGAGAAAGCACCATTCTTTGTTGAATAAAGGTATGATACTATTAAAAGCTAAAATACTGTGATGTACAAATCAATAACAGACTGATAAAAATAATTATGCTCGTTTTCTTTAGTCAAAGTAACTTATATGTTACTGAACTGTCAGCATTTTAGTTATGAACCATATAAATAGCAATACAGTTTTATCTCCATCCCTGCTGATATATCATATTTCTCATATATACATACAACTTACAAGCATTTCCATTACCCATATAATAAGTTTCCATACCTCATAATCATAATACACCATAGTAACTTAAAGCATCTATTCATCTTAAAAAGAATTGGGATATAATATTATATTGCTGTACTTGATGCCCATTGCATTAAAATGGGTTCTTACTTGACAAACTAGAGCCAATTTAGATACTTTGATCACTTCCTGATAACTATTCTGGATTTCTGGTACTGTTTGTCCCTTCTCTGGCAGCGATACTGCATGATTGACCTTTAAACAACCTTACCGTGAAAAATTGGGGAATAGACCCTTTAAAGTGCTACTGATTTCAAATCATTAACACGTGTCCCTCTGCAATGATTGGGGGGAATCTAATTTTGTTATAAAAAAGAGACATTCTCAACTTATTACTTTCTTGAAAAGCACATCCGACAAACATTACAGGAATCTTTCAAGGATTTATGAATAATAAATATATCCATGCTTACCATGATCTTATATTAAACAGTGGTGCTTTTCCACAGTAATAAACAAATCCTTGTATTCCGTAAGTAAACACCATCAAAAGTATGCATGGCGTCTTGATATCACTTGTACTTGACTGTCGAGACGAGCTTTCTGCTCAGCTGACAGATGAAAACAGATAATGATGTACCTCGAAATGTAATGGCCCCATATCAACCACACCTAAACCCACCACTAACTAAATTTAAAACGACCTACCTTAAAGAATCAATATTATAAGCAGGTTGAAGTTAACCCCGACGAGTATTTTAGAACCAAAACAAACTCAGAACATGGTGTAGAAATGCAAACAAAAGGTTCGTGACGTCATTAACGGAAGTGGTAACGTAAGATGGATGATAGCCCACGCAAAAAGATGAAGTTGCGTATTTTCATACGATGCCACATATTGTGCTTTACTTATAAGTGCGCATATTTTGTAGTGACACTCCTTAACTTTACTGTGATATGTTTATATAATGTGCAGAACATGTGTTACCTAGGGTATTTTAATAATTAAAATGCTATCGTCTTTACGGTGCGCCTTGCAGTAGTTGTGAAAAGTGAGATCTAACGAAAGCATGGACAGTTTTGGAAAAGACGGAGTAGTCCCTGACGTAATTGATGCTGCACCAACCTCTCTTTTGCAAGTACGACAATTATTCTTAAAGATACATATAAAACATGACATGGGCTTATTTTATGTCCATGACACACATACTGACAGACAAAGCAAAACATCCTAACTTCCAATTTACTCATTGAGTACAGTACGTGTATACTTACCGACTTCCTAAAACACATACGTGTACTTGATACATGTACTTTCGCTTCATGCTCACAAGAGAGGCCCACAATGTTTTTTTTCTATCTGCGGTGTTGAGATAATCGTTTTTCTAATACTTTACAGCTGACCTACTCTTTTGGAGATGTTCAGCCAGGAATGATCTTGACACCAACCCAGGTATTACATGTATAATTTATAAACATAATATCCACCCCAGTGTTTACAATGCAGTTATACAGAGCATTTTTTGTAATTTCATTTATTATTTTATTTTCTATTAATTAACTTATTTATTTTGTCTTTAACTTTTGCATTTAAGCAAGTATCTGCACTGTTTAGAAGCAGAAACAGCTTGTTGATATACTGTACAATGTACAGTACATTTATGTGGCTCATTTAGTTTATATATAATATAAAGCATACATATTTAATGTTCCTAGAAGAAGAAATGTATTCATATTATATATTTGCAGGTAAAAGATCAGCCTGCTGTTAAATGGAATGGTGATGATGGAGCATATTATACACTAATTATGAATGGTACCTACATGTAGGCTTGTAATTATAACAAATAATATGTGGAGGGAAGGAGTCTACCTAAAATGCACAATACAGAGCAATTCACTAGAAAATACTACTCCGGACCCAAGTGAACACAGGAAAGGTCATTCCCAAGAAAGTAGGGTGATATAAGAGCAAATTTTAATACTAGTTGCTTCGGACATTATTTTCTATATTGCATTGCGCTGTGCTGCAGTGTATTGTGCATTTAATGAACACCAGAGGGAAGCATTTAACTGTTGGATTTGATGCAATTACACTTGGATCTCTGTGAAAAATTATATATTAACGTCTGGAAAGAAAAAAGAAGGCTATTTCTCTCGTATGTCAAATATTTGGAAGTTTTGCTTGATAGCAAAACATATAATATAATGTCAGCTAATATTATTAAATGTTCATCTTTTTTGGCTAAATATGATTTTGTTAAACAATACATTGTTAAAGCTTAAACAACAACTGACGGGCCCCATAGCCAGCAATTTCAGAGGGGGAAAAAGTGGACCTTTTACCATAAAATCCTCAAGTACATAGTTCAAATTTTACCCAGAGTGGACCTTTTCCTAGCAAAAAGGGTGGTTCTTTTGAACCCTTGAAGCCCCCCCCCCCCCCCCCCCCCCGGCTACAGGCTTGACTGAACATGTTAAGTTACACATATAAAAAGTTGATTTCACATACAATGTGATTTATATAAAACATGTATGGTTATGCCAGAGATTTGAATTCATTTTTAACTCACTTTGTAGACCCAGATGCCCCAAGTAGGGAGAATCCAAAGTTTGGGGAATGGCATCACTGGCTGATTACCAATATCCCAGGCAATAGTGTCAGCCAGGGAGATGTCATGTCAGAGTATGTTGGAGCTGGCCCCCCTAAAGATACAGGTGCAGCATATTTTACTTGCCTTTATCAATGGTCTTAAGCTAGGATGTGGCTGTTTGAAGTATTTGAATCATTACTAGAAAAACAAATATTTAAATAAATTTAAATGTTTGAATCAGTCTGAAGCACTTGTTATAAAGTGGACCAGATAGTCACATGTGGTCAAAAGGGGGCTAATGCATTGGCTGAAAAATTATAATTCTCATACCCTTCAGTGTTTCCATTGCACAGGTCGAACTACAGTACTAGTAGATTGTTTGCATTGCCTTTGGTAATTAAACAGAGGTCTAGGTGTGTGACATGTAACCAATGCACTTCATGTACATGTATATTTCATATTGTTCTCTTCCCATAAAGAAAAACTTGTATTTTCAGGGTTGCATCGCTATGTCTTCTTGTTGTTTAAACAGTCTGGAGGGAAACAGACATTTGAGGGTCTTCACAAGCTCACCAATCGATCTGGCAACAACAGAAAATCCTGGAAGGTGCGAGATTTTGCCAAGAAATATAACTTGCAGTTGTTAGCTGGGAACTTTTTCCAGGCACAATTTGATGATTATGTACCCAAGTTACATCAGCAGCTATCTGGAAAATGATGTGAACATCATCTTGAAAAGAACATACTGTAGAAGAGCACTGATGATAAATGTAATTGAAAAAGGGTCTGTTGTTTATTTGATAAGATGGATTAAAATTAGAGTGTGAATTTTGTGAACATCTGCTTAGTTTATACATTAATGTTTAAACTTTAAAAGATTGGAGATGCTTTATAATTTGTTTTCTTTGATGTTTGTGTTTTTGATAGATACATTTAGTTGTATACGTTTTGCTTTGAACAAATTAGTAATTTCATTATTTGTTTTAAATTTGTCCATTCCTATCTAGAATGTTTTGTTACTATTGAAAGGTTGGAGGATGTAATGTTTGTGTAGAACTGTGGTAAAATCACCACAAAGCAAAATGAAAGATGATATTTTCCATAAATCAGGGCATGGTTCCCATGTGAAAATTTGTCTCATTTAACGTTCCCTTGCGGTTCTCAGTCTATTCTAGAACATTTGGCTTTTTTTTTTTTTTTTTTTTTTTTTTTTTT